AATAGAAGGGCATTTGAACGAAAAAGCCGCCAAACACATATCTATGAAAAGTAAACAAGCCCCCGCTGCATCCCTTGGTCGATAATTCCGAACTAGTTCTACTAGTTCTAGTTAAAAAATGAGCAAAATTTTCAGATTTCCGTTTTTTCTATAGAAATGTTTCCTTATGTGGTCTATAACACCTTTCGCCCCCCTATTTAGTTATAGTTTTGCAAAATAATTCAATGAATATCATCCATGCATGTGCACCTTATTTTGCAACTTGTTGCTATGTACAAAGCAAGACTCCCCCCAGAAAGGTTGATTTGGTCATAAAAACCTGACCTGGGAACAATTTTTAAAATCGGATAACGGAAAGACGTGCCCCAAAGGCCCTACAGTTCACCAAATTCATGGAATTTTTCACAAAGCGGTCAACATTTTACCTATAAGTCAGTGAGAAATTTAATATATTTTAATGGCACTTTATGGAGTTTTGTTCCCCGATGTCAAAAATAACTACAGATGGGAGGTACCCTCAAAAAGCAAATTTGGAAGTTCGTTAGAGGATTGATGTGTTCTCTAAAAAGTTGAATAAAAAAGTTATGCCAAGAAGGAACAACAGCCAAACTAAAAAAAAAAAATCTTGGTTTTTTTCTACAAAAAATAAAATATTAAAATTGAGTTTGGCTAACTATTCCTCTTAGCATACATTTTTTTTATTAAATTTTTTAGAGACTTTTACCTTGGTTACATGAAGTTTTTGCCTGGGAAGACCCCCAGTAAAATTTTCCGAAGGATAATTTTCTAGAACACATCAATCCTCTAACACACTTCTAAATTTGCTTTTTGAGAGCTTTCTTGAAGTAAGGGTGGGGGCTAATAGGTTAAGATGTTCTACGAAAATATTTCCAATTTTACTATATAACGGGTGATTTTTTTGAGGTTAGGATTTTCATGCATTAGTATTTGACAGATCACGTGGGATTTCAGACATGGTGTCAAAGAGAAAGATGCTCAGTATGCTTTGANCAACAAGATGGCGCTACATGCCACACAGCTCGCGATTCTATGGCCATTTTGAGGGAAAACTTCGGAGAACAATTCATCTCAAGAAATGGACCGGTAAGTTGGCCACCAAGATCATGCGATTTGACGCCTTTAGACTATTTTTTGTGGGGCTACGTCAAGTCTAAAGTCTACAGAAATAAGCCAGCAACTATTCCAGCTTTGGAAGACAACATTTCCGAAGAAATTCGGGCTATTCCGGCCGAAATGCTCGAAAAAGTTGCCCAAAATTGGACTTTCCGAATGGACCACCTAAGACGCAGCCGCGGTCAACATTTAAATGAAATTATCTTCAAAAAGTAAATGTCATGGACCAATCTAACGTTTCAAATAAAGAACCGATGAAATTTTATGCGTTTTTTTTAAAAAAAAAGTTATCAAGCTCTTAAAAAATCACCCGTTACATATGTACGTCTGAACCTTCACTTTCGCTCAGATTTTGTTTTCCCAATTGTTTACACTTTTTTGAAAACTACTTATGTATGTAGGTCGGGACATGAAAACTTTAGAAGGCTATAAAAGAAAAATACGAACTAATCTAATCCATAGAGTGTTTTATTACTGGATTCAAAAAATTTACCAAAGTCCGGGCTGGTTGAATTGTCATAAAATTGTCGCACAGTGTTATATATCTCATCTCTATAAGCAAAACTGTGTTGTTTTATGTGTTCGTGGTTACGTACGTTTTGAAAAAAATAGTAAAATTTAAGAGTTAAATTTGCATCATAATTCTATTGTTGGAAGATTTCTGAAGGGAAATATTTTTATTCGCTCAATTTTAATTTTAACGATTTTAAAGCAATTCACGAAAAAATTTATTTTCCGTACATAAAATATTTTTGTACCACATTAATGCACATACATACATACATCTAACATCTGTAATCGCATCCTTTTCAAAAATTGCCATCAAAAACTCATTTGGTCCTTTTTTTTTGCTTTTCTCGCCCGCCATCAACTCGTATCAAATTGAGTTGATATTTTACATTAACATTTTTGTTTATGTTTCACACAGTTTTATCCTTTTTGCCGCGCACACTTTTGGTTTTTGCCTATTTCTATCAAATTTTTATGCATAAATTCTTTCCGGCTTCCCTTTTCACAGCACAGACACTAAGTGAAAGGCACAAGAAAAAAATGTATGAAAATACGCAAAAGGGTTCATCCCCTCATGGGACATTAATATTTTGCTCTATTTCATTATTAGCAAGCGTTTGTTGATGAGGGGAAGAAACATCCCTTGCACAAGTCGACGCACAAAAAAAAAAATTGTTATTTTCCTACTACCTTCGTTGAAAACAGTGGTGGCTGGCTGATCGAATTAGTGGCATGCAACAAACTGTGCTGTATGTTGTGTTACAGCTGGGAGCGCCGGAGGGGCGAGAAGGCATGCGGAACGCTAAAAAAAAAGTGTAGAGAAGGAATAAGGAGACGAAATTGGCGCTCGAATGAGAGTAAAAGTAGAACATTTTAATAAAATTTTTTGTATTAAAAAGTATACTTGTTTATATAAAAAGGGCTGTACAAAAGTTAGAAAAATTAGTTAACAAAAGAGCACTAAACTACACCGCGTCAATTTTGGAAAAATCTGTATAAAACATTAGAAATCTTTTTCAACTTTTTAGCTATAAAATTCTGCATTGATTATAAAGATGAAAATCTCCTTTTTTAACACTTACTTTACCTATTGACGTTAAATTACCAATTCAATATTTCCATCATTTGATATTCTGATTACATACATACATATACAGGCATTTTGTCAGAGCTCAGACGGTTCCCTTTGCCTTTGTTTTTGTATACTTAGTTTTTCTCTCTGGAGTCAGAATTTTTTTAAAAGGACTTTGAAGTTAAAAAATATGATTATCTCAAAAAATTATTTTAAAAATTCAGTGCAATGTAGGATGACAATAAGCGTATCATATAAAAGAAAAAAATCTGTAGAATTATAACAGAATAAATTTTTTGGTGCATAAGGACGTATGGGTATGGAAAATATCCTTAAAAAATTTTGTTCTTAAGTATCCTTGAAAATTTACTAAATTTATTAAAAAAATATATATTTTTTGAGGACTAATATACAGACTACGTCATCATCAAATTTCGTCCTGCAAACTTTATTAACTTAAAAATATAAAATTTAATAATATTCGTCCCTGTAAACCAAAAAACTTTGTTTCTAAATTCTACAGAATTTTCTCTCTCATTTGGTACCAATATTTTATTTTACATTGCACTGAATTTTTTAAATAATTTTTTAAGTTATTCATATCTTTAAAATTTCAAAGTCCTTTGAAAAAAAAATCAAGGCGTTAGAGTGATAAACTAAAAACGCATTTTTACTATATTTTTCCCATAGTTTCGTGAATATATCGATTATTTCGTGTGCTGTGAAATTATTTTTTTTTTTTTTGTCGCACGGTGTAATAATTAGCGCGTACACTTATGTTAGTGTTTGGCCGAGCTTCTCCTCCGATTTGCGGCGTGTATCTTGATGTTCTCACACAAAGATAATTTAAATACACACGGCATAAAAATAATTTTCCACAAAAAAAGTTTCTATGTGAAAAAATTTCAAAACTTGAAAAGATTGAAATCAAGGATTGATAGAAGGGGACTAAGCACTATTTTCTGTCGCTAAGTTGTACATTCATATATAGAAAATGCCAAGTCAACGGGATAAAAAAAAATTTGGAAAGCAATCATAATTCGGTTGGCATGGTATATGCCATATACAGCTGCGGCCAATGAATCAGCACCGAAATTCAAAATGATATTGTTTGCAACTTATGTATGTTTATTTATTTATTTTTAATCAATTTCATTTCATTTTTCATATATTTTTGTGCAAGCTTTGAAACTTTTATTTATCTATGTATGTGGTTTCTGTTATAGATTGAATTATATTTTGAATGAAAATTATTAAAAATAAATAAACAAACATAAGCTGCAAACAATATCATTTTGAATTTGGGTGCTAATTCATTGACCGCAGCTGTCGATACATACATGTCATTTTTTTTGCCGACGGTCTTTCCGCATGCTTTTTATATGGGTAAAATGCACAACAACGCATGAAAAAAAAAAATTTCTAAAACCAAACAGAATTTTGAGCTACTTCAAACTTGTATTTTATTATACTAAAATTAAATGGGCTATTAAACTGCATAGCTGAAAATTTCCTTCAAATCTGACTTGAAAGTTTGAAATTTTAATGAAAATTTTATGAATTTTTTAAATTTGTATGCAAACTTTTGAATCTTTTATTTATGGGTCATGGCCTGTAAAAGAGGAAAACGACGTAAATTTTAAATTTTCTTATAATCCATATTTCAGTAGTAGCCTATTGTTAAATGACTACATTTCATTAATTCCGAAAGATTATATGGTATTTTTTTAAAGGAATTTGGTACATCAGTTATTTATTTATTGTCCAAAAATGTCTTTAACGGTTGCCAAAGTTCCGACGACATAGTTATTACTCACAATTCATCACATTCTGGAGTCCGCTGTCCCACCAGTCACAATGTAGTGGCCCTTATTCATATAGTTTTTGTTGAATATGTACATACATATATGTATTAAAAAAAAAATTTAATTTAGGAAATTCTACCAATTTATTTTTTAAGTGGTGATAAGGTTTGCGTTGCCACAAGTATTTTTGTTCAGTACAAATTTTTTTCTCGTAGTTCCCTGCGGCAACTTTTTTTTACCAAATTTTGATAGACACCTTTTTTTGTTGGTTTTTCATCATTCTGCATCCCATCTCAAAAAAGTGATACTCCTGTGTACATACTGTACTATACATACATACATACATACATCCCTAAGCATGCGTAAATACCATTTATTTATACTCATTATTATTTTTTATTAAAATTGCTGCCTAATCCTTACTTTTCGAATTACTCATTTCTACCCATATCTTCTTCTATTGTTTTTCGCACCTTTAGAACGGATATTGAAAGCGACGTCACACAACCAACGCCAAACAATCTCTACTTACCTACTCAACCTTTGAAGGACAACTCGAATATTAGGATTATCAAAGTCAATTCTGAGTACACACAGTCGGTGGATAGCACAACAGCTGCATTAAAGCAACACCAACAACAGCCACAGGCGACTACGACCATCACCACTACTACAGCAGCAGCGAATAATAGTTTTAACAATCATTTGAATAACAATAACAATAATAGGAACGCTAATACAGCTAACAACAAAAACAACGAACGCCCGCTTAAGTGTCTCGAAACACTCGCACAAAAGGCGGGAATCACGTTTGACGAGAAATACGATTTCGCTAGTCCACCGTATCCGGATACGCACATTAGTAGCGCCAGTAACGGCAACAACCACTACAACCATAATCCCAACGTCAGCTATAGGCATACTTTAGCAGTGAGCAGTGGTGGAGTTTCATCATCATCGTCGTCGTCATCATCCGCTTCATCGACGACCTCATCAGCATCATCCACATCTTCGACTTCTTCGACATTTGTCAGCTCATCAACGCCATCGGCAACGGCTATCGCATCCACTTCGACACCGCAGAAAAACTTCACGCTGGAGAAATCACAGAGTCCAGCTCAACAAGTGGCGCCTTCATCGGTGCCACTACAAATCTCACCCGAACAATTACAACAGTTGCAACAACTGCAACTGCAACATGGCTCACCATTCACTGCCATACAGGTGAAACAGGAATTTCCTACGCACACTGCCACCACACATCAGCTGAGCGCTGCCGGTGCGGGCGGTGAGCTGAAGCACCCGGGTTTGTTGGATGCCACGCAGGCCAATCAGCTGCAACAAATGCAAATGCAGTTGGCGGATCCTACAGCCGGTGCGCCCGGCAGTCCGGCTAATCAGCAAACACCAAGTAGCGCGGCCGCTGCTGTTGCTGCCATGCAGCAGCATTCGACCACCATAAGTACCATGTCGCCGATGCAGTTGACCGGACAGGTATTGGGTGATTGGGCACAGGGGCGTACGGTGCAGTTGATGCCACAACAAACGGCGCTCAATTCGGGTTTCCTGTATCCACAACTCGTTTCTGGCAACTTGATACACTCGAATTTGGGACAGCAGCCGATACAGGTGGGTGCTGTTGAGTTTACTTGAATTTTATTTGTTTCTTAATCGATGTATAAGTACAATTTTCCTTGTTCTACGCAGGTTATCGCTAGCAAGCCCTTTCAAGGTGGCACGCCTCAAATGATTACCACCACCACGCAGAATGCTAAGCAAATGATCGGCGGTAATGCAGGCTTTCCCAACACCTACGCCATACCGTCCAGTCAATCGCCACAGGCTCTGCTTTTCACGCCCGTGCTCGCGCAATCGCCGCAACAGCAACAGAATATATTTAATTCCATGGCAGCTGCAGCAGCTAATGCTCAACAACAGCAACAGCAACAACAACAGCAACAGCAGCAACAACAAAATGCAAAGGCCACTAGCGATGCGCAGAAGGGTCTGCAGCAGAAGGTCGTACAAAAGGTGACAACCACCACGAATACAGTGCAATCGGCCGCGGGCGCCGCCGGTGCTGTGGCTCAGCAGCAGCAACAGCAGCAGCAGTCAACGCAACAATGCGTGCAGGTGTCGCAAGCTACAATGCCGACACAGATAATTAGTCCTCTGCAAAACGCCACTGGCGCACCGCAAATGCAAATTGGCCCATGGGTGCCGTTTTGGTCGAATGGCCTACAACAGTTGCAGAATCCAATTATAATACGCGGCACGCAGCCGGATGGTACGCAGAGCATGTTTATTCAGCAGCCGGCTTCGCATCAAACAATACAGGCGCAGCAGCAGAATCGTAAGTGATAGAGAATTACGAAGCGCTTGCGTTACATTTACAACAATCCGTTTTCCTCTTTTTCCTTTGCAGCCATCACCTTACAGTGCAACGTCGCACAGCCCGCTGTTAAGCCGCGTCAACAAATAGAAGCGCTCGCGCCGAAACAACAGCAAACCCATCAACAACAGGCACAGCAGCAGCAGCAGACGGCGCAGGCCGTCGTCGCAGCCGCCGCTCAATTGCAGCAACAAGCCGTTACAGCTAGCCAATTGCAACAGCAAGTGGCGCAACGCGTGCCCCAAATACTGCCGCAAAATGGCGCTCAGATACGTCCGGCTAGTTCGGTGTCGACTCAGACTGCCCAAAATCAAAGTTTGCTAAAGAAGATGCGCACCAAGCAGCAGCCAGTGCGGCCAGCACTGCCGACAATGAAGACTGAAAATGGCCAGCCGCAGCAGCTGAAGCCCCAAACGGTCGCCACGGCAGCTGGGTTGCAGCAGCAAGGCGCCACTATGCATCAGGTGGTTACGCCTGCGGGTAAAATGGTTGTGATGTCAACAGGGCCGCCGATAACCATACAAAATGGACAGGCCATACAGCAGGCCACCACGACTGGCCATGTCGACAAGCAACAGCAACAGCAGCAGCAAATTCAAATACAGCAGATGCAGAAGCAGCAGCAGCAACAACAACAGGCTCTACTGCAGCAGCACTTGCTACAGCAACAATTTGCATCGGCTATTCAAATGCAACAACAGCAGCAGCAGCAACAACAACAGCAACAGTTGCAACAACACCAACACCAGCAGCAACCGCAACAAATACAGTTGCAGGTGACGCCACAAACATTCATCACACAGCAACAGCAAGCGCAACAACAACAACAGCAGCTACAAACTCAGTTGCTGCAACAGCAGCTAGTTCAACAACAACAACAACAGCAGCAGCAGCAACAGCAACAGCAGCAGCAGCAGCGTGAGCAACAACAGAATATAATACACCAAATCGTCGTGCAGCAGCAGCCACAGCAGCAACAGGCTCAGACTCATGCCCAGCAGCAGCAGCAGCAACAACAACCACAACAACAGCAGCAACCGCATTTACCACCGCAGATTGCCGGCGTACCCTTCTCGGTGTCGTCTTCGACGCCATCAAGCATAGCCTCGTCCGCAGCCGCCGCGCTGCAGCAACACGGCGTCTATCAGTCGAAGGCCTCGACGCTGCCAACAACGTCAGTGGTGACTATCACTAATCAGGCTGGACCATTGGTCACCAGCACCATTGGCATTAATCAGACGGCACAGCTGCAGCAGCAACAACAACAACAGCAACAGCAACAAGCACAGCAGGCGCAACAACAAGCGCAGCAACAGCAACAAGCACAGCAGGCGCAACAACAAGCGCAGCAGCAGCAACAACAACAGCAAAGTTTACTGGCCGCAACTCTTGCCGCCTCGCAGCAGCAGCAGGCGCAACACCAGGCGCAGCAGGCGCAACAACAAGCACAGCAGGCTCAACAGCAACAAGCACAGCAAGCGCAACAACAAGCACAGCAGGCGCAACAGCAACAAGCACAGCAGGCGCAACAGCAGCAGCAAACCCAAATGGCTCCGCCATCCGCTCACCCACTGCCACAACCCAGTATGGTTTCCACACCCACACAGAGTCCACTGCTCGGCCTCACATCAATGATGAACGCATCCATGGGCGGTAGCATACAGTCCTCGCCGGTTACATCAACTGC